ACGTGAAAAACTGGGTGATTAGTTAATAAATATCAACTTGCAGAATGTATTTGCACCATGAAATTAATACAATCACAGGAAACCGTACAATAATCAATAACAGGAAAGAAAAATATTAGATGAAGTAGAGTAAGATGCAAATAATAAGAATTAACTACAAACAAAGTTTTCCTGGGACCAATTTTTCTAATGTGATAACTATTTACAATAACTTATTGTTGCTGACTTCAGATAATCGGAACCGCTTCACTTAATTACTTCTGTTCTTATTATGTTTCAACTGAGTGCACACTACCTCCAGAAAGCTCAGATTATTTTATACAGCCTAAAAGTAAATTAGTGTTTATAAAAAAATATCAATGTATTTTGGAAGATTATCTATCAAGCTAAACCGTCTCTATATTAAACAATTGATTAGTTGACAGCGAAGAGTTTATCGAATGTCATGAAGTGACTAAATCGGACTGATCGGCCGCACCCTACTACTTGGCTCTTACTGAAGTGTGCTCACACCGTAGTTTTTTTAATTTTTAATTTTCAGTGCACGAAATCATTATGAAAATTTCTTTTCGTCTTCCACAAAATCAAAATAGATTACTACCGCTTATTGCATAAGGAAATCCAGACTAACTATCCGTCGTGTGATGTGACTGACGTGAAATGGCAATAACTAAGGGATCATACAATTAGCGTCCAATGCCTGCAAACTAACTTATATAGTCCCATGTGTATTCAACCGAGTTAACTTCCATTGTGTCTGTAGTGTCTGTCATTATGTTAAGCCCAAACGCCTCATTATTCTAACTTCCGGACAGCCCATTCTATTCATTCTATTTGAGTCACATTCCGACCTTGTTAATTATTCGCTTATCAATGTCTTGACTGTCTTTGTATGAGCGCGTAGGCGTATGCACACTTCTTATCCCGTTACTCATCACATGTCTGTAATTTACTTTTGCGGGCTTATAAATATTGATTAACTCTTTGTTAAGCGGGGAGTTGGCTTACCAGCCATCTCCACCGCTCGTCAATTTCGCTTTGCTTTCTTCTCTTCGCGTCGTTCTTCCGTTCGTTTGTCTAATCAGCAATTATGCGAAATATATGCATTCAAAACTCCATTCTCGTTATTTGACTTATTTAATTCCGTTATTAACTAACGCGATTTAAGTCAATGATTATATACGAGGGTAGACGATAGCAACCAATCATTACGATCAAATTGGAGTCAGATCACGGGCCACTAAATGTCTATCAGAAAAAGCAAGATGCACAAAGACAATTCATAGGAAAACAGAGTTCCTGCTTATCTATTAAGAATTCTTAGCAATTTTGGTAATAATGATCAATAATGGCTTATTACTGAACAAGCAGGCCTACGCCAGTTTTACAGGCAAGAGTAATAACTCAAAATACGGTTTATAAATGAGATATTATCCCACTAGTGTTAGTAAGGAGACTACATCATTAAATCAGTAAAAATTCGCAATAGAAGTTACGTGGACATTTATCAACTAGGTATTAAGTAGATTTACGTGGTGAAACTGTCCAATATGTTTATAGCCGTCATAGTGACTGCACCTTGTAAAGACATAATGGAAACAAGTTATTTGCATTTGTAAGGCTTATACTTGGCAGAAATCGTTTAATGTATGCAATGATACCGAATACCTGAAGAACGTTTGTGAGAGGATAGTGAGAGAAGCTCAGTAAAAATATGACATGAACTCCTACTACTGCTTTCTAAAGGAAATCTTCAGATCAACCGACAGAAGTTTGGAACTTGTCAATGGCTGAAAAATATTAGTACTCACTAATTTCCAGCTAAAGATAGAAATCAATTAGCAAATCACAGAAGTATTTTTAGCCACGAGAGAAAAACCAGTAAAACGGTAAATGAGGTTATCCATCTATGATAGCGTTTTACAGCATATACACTCCGTCCAAACGCGACTGCAAATAAAATGTTATTCAGCCTATGAACACAAAACCCACCATAGAAAGTCTAACATGAAATGCACTTTATGATTCCATACTCGCGAAGTCGTTGATGAGAAAAAAAATTAATTCCACCCACGGTTTAACTTCTATTGCTTTCATTTAAACATTAAAAATTGAAAAAACACGAAGTTCAGCGAAGGAATCTTTTTTCAACGAATTTATTAATAACCTCCTCAGTCTTATATACATGATAATGTTTTGTTAAAGTACTAATTCCGTGAAGAACTTTGAACACGAATAACCAAGATGACGCAATAGAAAGATTACCATGCTAGATTACGTAATACGAACAATAACAATGAATTTAGTGAATGTAATAAGGTGAATGGAGTGATCAAAAATGTTTTATCACAATAACTAAAGGCATCCATGTGCATCTACCAGTTCACCTGCTTTTGTGGAGCAAGGTATATTGGCCGTAGTCAGCGCCCGCTTTGAACTCGGATACGGGAACACGTCCTAGTTTGGCTCTACAAGGGTGAGAGAAAAGCAGTTGGGAGTTCTATACTTGAATACCTAATCAACTGTAATCATTTTAAGGATCCACAGTTTGATTTTAAGGTTGTATATATGATTCGTTCAAAACTACCTAGATTTCTTTGTATTCAACTTATAAAAAGAGCCAAGAGTCTTACCATCCATGAGCTAAAACCAGAAACGTGCGTACAAAAGAAGTACGTCCCACTGTTATCGTTACCATGATCTTAATTAATATTATTATTATCACTGAATTCCTCTTTACTTATGTCTTATACTCTCATTATTTTTATCATAAATGCTCATCACATCACCTCGTTTATTTTTATACATCTATGACCTTTAACTGTTGCAACAAAAATGATTTTTATTCATTTTAATGATCTTATTACATTTACTAAATCTATTGTTATAGTTCGCATTACGTAATCTCGTATTGTAATCTTTCTATTGTGTCATTTTGGTTATTCGTGTTCACATTTCTTCACGGACTTAGTAACTTAACAAAAAATTTCCATATTTATATACCATTGTACAGCTTGATAATAAATTCGTTGAACAAAGATTCCTTCGCCGAACTTCGTGTTTTCTTTGTTCTGCCGGGTTAATTTATCGTAAAGATGTCTCTTAGTTAATCTTCCTTCGTTATTCCACCCCAAGATTCATGTTGGTGGAAGTTTCAAACTCAAGTATACGCGACGCATCTGAAGCCTTATAAAACTAAGTTTTGATCTAGGTAATCAGAATGTTATAATATTGGTAGGTGTTAATGGTTTTTTCCTGGTCCATTTACTAAAAAAACGTTTATTATATTAGCAATAATAGTATATATAACTGACATAGCAGGCTCAAGGGACCAACCTTAATGTAATTGAATGGTTGTATTACCATCAAATGTAAAGACCAGCAGACGAATGAAATGTCCTGCTTCACGAAATTGGGTGGATTGGAATCGCTGATGCTTACTGGTTAGTAACTCTATCTTCCATTCCTTCTCTTTAATGGACTGTTTTCGAATTAATTATTAGACTGCAACTATTTGCTACATTCCATCTGTGCTCAACAACTTGCTAGAAAACGCTTTCTAAAAGCATTATGTACAAGCTTTATGGACAGTTAGTCTGACAGACCATAGGTAGAAAATCGAGACATACCTCAAGATAGCGCACGATAAAGTATTATTTTCCAAGTAAAAAAGGTAACGGAAATAAACTACCTGGTGAAAGAGTGATTGAATGGAATACTTTTAAGGTAGTGAGTAAGGATTTGAAAAGCAATGTTCGGATAGCAACATGCATGGTAAAAAACGAAAACCCATAGGAAACAAATAAGGAGGGACTCACATCACGGTATGGATGATAATGTTTCTTACGAACAGTTCCTGAGTGTTCCAGATTTCTCACCCGAGTAGTTTCTGGCCATATTAAATTTTGTTGGGTCGTGTTCCGAAGCTACCTCAGTTCCCATTCATAGTTGAGTAAAATGTTGTGGGGTCAGAAGAAAACTCAAAAGACAGCTGTCTATTAAATAGTTTTGAGAGAAGTATACGAAGTATGTAACAAAAGATGAAAAATTCGAAGATGTAGTGTAAAAACTGGGAAATATAAAATTTGAACGACGGAGGCTATAAGAGAGTGAAACATTGTTAAGTGATATGGTCACGGAGTGGCAAACCTTTGTTAGTTGCAAGATTAGGTGTTGGGTGAGTTATCGTGAAATCCACATTTACTTAGGTTAGTTGCAACGGGGATTTAGAAGGCATCAAAATGACTCATCGGTTAACTTTTTCTTCCGTTTTTATACCCTACGCACTTCTTCGTACTATCTCTCAGCATGCATCGAGCCTTCGAGCTAGGTAGGAACTTTACATACTTTCACCTAATCGAGAGGCTTACTCGCAGTGCACTTCTAGTCATCTGGTCAAATCTCATACTATATGTATAATGTGATGGTATCTGTCCATTTTCAGTCCCCAATAAAAAATCAACATCTGGCATTTCAGAGTATCTTCAAATTTGTTAATTGGATGAACACTGAATAAAAAATAATTCCCGCAGTTTATTTCGTTCCAGGTTTGTATGTGCTTCGCAAACATCGTAGACGAATAAAGTAAACAATGAAAAGACACAGAGCTACAACGATGATCCTCAGTATGCTTTATATGCATTGTTCAACCCCTAAAATGAGCACAAAACACCTGAAAATGCTTTCCATAGCACGCGTATTGTGCACAGAAAACAGATGCATAATGTCCGTAACGTTCGGTCTTTGACAGGTGGAGATCTAGCTCGAAGATACCTCAAGTGTTGAAGGAGTGCGAGGCACAGATTGTGAGAGAATCAAAAGGAGGAAAGATTGAAATAAAAAATGAGATTACGATTCAGTAAACATATGGAATGTGCCATATATCATTGATCAAAACAATTGATAGCAATTAGAGGTAACACAAACATGATATCAATGTATTCTGATAGACGTAACTAGAAATTCTTACCGTAAAGTTACACATGAGTACATGTCTTCTAATGTATTTTCTCGGTCAAGGCCGTTTGGGACAAGGAGGTAGGTTTGGTTTATCAGAGCGTACCATACATGACGATTTTAACCCCGTTACAAGAGTTTGTGTGGGGAATTATATTACTTTCTATGGGTGGGTGTTTTTTTACCAATAAACGTCATGAAATAAGCTACCTGATACTAAGTGATATGCCTTATAGTCAAAATCTCACGCCTTGTTAAAATATGCACATGAAGACTTGTATTCATAGTTTTATTGCAATGGGATCATATAACTCAAAAGTGTTTTTAAAGATGTCATATACCGCTCACCTTACTAGCTCATTTGTATGTACTTCTAGATTTAGTTACCCATGAACTAATACTTAGCAAATCTCACTGTAACTAGTGCAATCATTGGTTTTCAGTCGGCTATAGCCGAAAAACAGACAGTTCAACAATATTTGAAACATAGACATGGCGAGACTAATTTGTGGGCGACCTTTCAACGAATCTTAAGTGACCTTGATAAATATTAGCTATTCAGAGAACAATAAGTATAGAGTAAAAATATATTATACAAAGCCAAGGAAATAAAGTGGATACACTTCTTATACGTGGTTCAAAAACTTGTCAAATTTAGGAAGAGGTTCTAAAGTTGTAATGCATGCAGCAGAGGAAATCATCCATACGGCTACAGAACATTCGGTCTCTGGGGCCATGATAAAGTCTCAAAAACTATTTGGGCCTCGACCACATAGCTTCAGTATTGTTTATGTGCACTGCGGTTGTTGAGTACACAAAATGCCACTTGTGGATAACTATACGTTGCACATAAACAAGCGTATGTAGGAGACTGTACGCTCTCCAGACATCCGTATATATTGTAGTACCTGGCTGCAGACAGTGTTACTGGTGCCTTTATTATCCAGTTCGCGGTGATTGTGATAATTTGCCTTAGGAATTATATATGGGGTTTTCATCACGAACTGACATCAGCTATGATGCCAGGAATCTATATAGATTTGGTTAATTATTTAGCCAAGTGGATGAACGGCTTCTGCGTGAAAATCTGAGATCTGTTATCTTATACCTGATTGATTCGCTCAAAAATTATAATCTCGCCGTTTTATTTGTTATAGCCGCTCAATTATCACGTTTTGTACAAAATTCCCTGTAAACCGACCGTACGTTAGCATTAAGCACCTTGGAATCCCTAAAAGCGCTTCTGATTGGCTCGTCCATAAGTTGAAGTCTCGCCACCAACTGTCATACCCTAACTGTAGTGTCTGATAAAACGCACCAGCTAGTAATATACTCAGCATCCCGATATCTTTGTACTACGGTCACTGGAATTTACAAAATTCTTGGTCAGCCTTTATGTTTCTGCGGCACTGTAACCAATCTGTCCAGATGAACTGCACACTCGTTAGCAGTATGAGCTAGTTCTAGGTCTATAAAGTACTTGCTGTCTTGCCACTATAGTAGACACGCTCGCAACACAAGTATATATATATATATATATATATATATATATATATATATAACAAAAGAATACATGTCCAGGGTTGCTCGTCGTTTTCTGGGAGTATCTTTGCTAAACCCCAAATGATACAGTATCGGCTTGGTTAATCAATTTTTGGAGGGGGAATTAGCTAAATATGTGTAATGCAAAATAAGAATAATTCCTGGTGTTCACTGGCAATTAATTCAAAATTTGGAAGCATGGACGGTAGAATAGTACCGACCTACCACATAGAACAAACTAGGGTATCCTTCATATTTGGTTCTAATTGATAGGCAAATTTAGCACTACATGAAGTTATCAGGTAAACGTAAGGTGTAAAGACTTCTGATGGTAGGTGCCTTAGTTTCCAACTGTATGAGGGTTTCGAATGTCTGCGTTTATTGCTACACTACCACCTGCCATTGTTTTGGTTAGGCATTCGTACAAACTATGGAACCGCATTATCCAACTTATTTCTGCAGAAGCAGCCTGAAGTGTTAATCATAGTTAGGCATCTGCACGCGTATTTCAATAAAACTCATTTTTAAACAATTATGTGGTTAGTCTTGGCAAATCATACAAGCCGGTTGATCAGTTACTTCATCACAGTTACAAATAAACGCAACGCAGTCATCAAATTGGTTCATAATTTCTCGTAAACAGACAAATTGGCAATGTTTGTGGAATGATCTATAGTAGAATGAATGCAATATCTAGCTGGTGTGTCGAAATACTTAATAGTATAGTTAACTGCAATCCAAAAATCTCACCGAGTAGCGTATCTTAGAAGTCACGACTGACACTCCATGGAGTAACATACTTGTGGACCTATGTCGTATTAATATTCCCACTAACAAACCCAAGAACTATACGGCTTTCTAAGCCACACCTAACATGACTTGGACATGTTCTACGAATGTCATCCCAGAGAATTCCTCGTCGTGCATTATTTGCCGACTCTGGGACTGGTTGGAAAAAGCGGAGAGGTGGTCAGTATATGACATGGTGTCGTGGTATGAAAGAAAGCTGCAAAGGGCTAGCGTCTGTTGGTCCTTCACGACTCTCTGGCTGGGGTCCGAGAGATGGTGTAACACAGTGGCTAGAGACGTTATCAGATATGGCTCAGAATAGAAGCCAGTTGCGATCCTGCTGTAACCTTCTCTTACTTTCTTCATAGAGTGGTTGCTCCTTCCTTAACTGAAAGATTTCTTCTGATTGTACCTTTCCGTTTCCCCCATTATTATTCTCTCCTTTTTTATAATTCCCCACGTTCACTACTTTTTTTCTCCTTCTCTTCAAATTATCATTGCTTTGTGTGGCGCATATATATTTGGTGCCCCCTTGTACCAATATTTATGTGTTCAAATAAATAAATAATAATGAAAAGACAGCGACAAAAGTTGAATGTTTATACTGTTGAACAGTTCGAAACTCATGCTGATCCATGATCTTCGCAAATAATACTAGATAGGGAAACATTATAGCCGCCTTTTAGTACTTGCTTTTATAATAAGTTCCGGAGATACTATGTGTCACTGTTTTGTTCTCGTTTCAGCTTAACAATACACACAGTTAATACTGAAAATCTACAAGAAATAAAATGCAAGGCTATGCTTCTTATAGTGGAGGCCCAGTTGGGTTTGGTAACTTGCCTGTTGTTTTATCATGTCTAATCAGGTGATCCCAACAGTAAGTATATTTCAAGTACAGAACGCAGCAACGTAATTTCAAAATTTGTACAAGAGAAACTTATTAGTGAATTATGTGTAGAAGAGTGGAAAGATTGGCGAAAGTGCATACGAGGAAAACGAGGCGAGTGGTTCGGCACATGGAAATGCAAACCCAAATATCAGATATTTGAACAGTGTCAGATGAGGTAAGAGAATTTTGTCTAACAAAATATACGTTATCACTTAAACCAAAACAAATAAAACTGAGTTTGATCACTTATACCGGAAGCCATCTTAATATTTGCACAATCAGTCATTTGAATGCACTTCTCTTTTTTCTTCAGGTACCTTCTAGACCTAGATGAACTGAAAAAATTTGAAGAGGAATACTTAAGCATACGTAGTGAATATCGAAAAACTGGTGTGGGTCGCGCTTTCATGACGAAAGAACGAATACGAGAACTTTGCGAGTTGTAAATGCCCCCTTTTATAATTGTAGCACACTCCAGTTCATAAATATATATATAACTATGATTATGTGTATTTATCCAAATGTCGATTTGAAAAAGAGTAATACGAGAGGAAGCTGAACATAAGCTTTCATGATTTATGATAACATAAGTAAACGTAATTAATGCAAATCATACGGGAATTTTTAGTTTTAACTCCAGAGTTAAACAACAGTGAAATGCTTTACAATCCCTAATGGCAAAAATTAATAGAACTGACGCGAGACAAATGATACTGACAAAAGGTTTAACATGAGGAAGGAAATCACATACAAAACACCAAAATGGTGATTTCTTTTGTAAATGAAACAAGTTAGACGAAGATAGGAGGTCATCGACATAATGCATAGTAGGATAACTTAGTGATTAGGTTTCCAGATGCAGATTTCGCGCGTTAGCACGTGAAAATAAAAGATAGAGTAGTCCTATTGATTGGAATAATTTTCCACTTCTATGAATGCTAATAGTTTCTGTTTTATTATTAGGGAGTAGTGCCGAACATTGAAGCTTCCCGACGACGCCTGTGAGAAGCTTCATGCTTCAACGGCTGTTTCTGACTCTGAGAACTTGGTGCGGCGTGTTGCACTGGAGGAGGTAAAGCTGTTGGTGCAGGAGCTGCTTCTTGTTTCCTATGGAAGGAAAACATGTAAAATAGACTTGTGGTGGAAAGGATCTAGTAGAAAACAAAAAATTATAATAATTTATTAACCAGTTATAAGCATCTTTCCATACTCAACATTTCGGGCTCGACAAGTCACAATTTTATACTAGTGAGATCACCCTTTATACACTTAGTGTGGTATATATCTCAAGGACTTACTCATCTGTACGTGTCATTAACCCACTTAGAATGAATATAATCGGCAAGGATTAGAGGTTGCATATCAATGAACTGATAATTTGGATGACTTCCAAAGTAAGCATGGTCTTGGAAATTATTTTAACCGACTTTCATTCTTTGTTAAGTTACCCATTACTTTTGAATAATCTAACACAAGTTGCCCAAATACTTGCGAAATTTAGAAAGATCATATCTAAATTTAAACGAAGTAGCGCAGTATGATCTAGGTTAACACCAGATATCTTTAAGGATAAAGGATCAGTTAGGTTGGTTGCGATACACTAGAGAGTAAAAATGGAATCTAGTCATATCTTACTGGCCTTTATTAGTGATTGTCAATCGGAAGAACAAAGCAAATTTCAGGAACCTGGAATCAATCGACAATTCTAAAAAATATTGATATAGACTCGAATTAAAATACATTGTCGGTGTGAACTAATGGTTAAAACGTTCAACTTTCAGCCACCAAGTCCCGGGTTTGAACCCTCGCTCCCTTTACTTTCGTTTGGGAAACCGGGTAGCATTATCAGTTCTCACAGTTAGAATGTGACTTATGGCTAATTACCTGATGAGTTAAATTAATTATCACATAAAATAAAGTGACAGATGAACTTATAAAAGTTGTTTACACCATGTGTTGCTCAATAGTACGGACAGCATACACCGTTCAAACAACTCATAATAAATTGACAATATCTAAACTTTGCACACTGATTCATACTTTTTAGATAAACCATGTGAAAGTCAGAAATGACTTTATGAACAAAAATCCATATAATAACCTTACGGGGTGAAGGTATAGTATACTGGCGGCTCCAGTTAAGATAACGTTTTATGTATTTCGGTAAAAATTTAAAGTGCAGTGATAGATAACTTGTATGTTATCATTAACGGATGGAAAATAAGTAGTGTTTAGTTCGTCAGATTCTTGGAGTCAGTAAAAATACCTATTATCCAACCAAAAAAATAGTTTTAGGTGGTGCTTAAGCTAAATTACAAAGCATGTCTGCTCCTAAGGCAGATTGTGTGCTAAAGTACTTGATGCGATTGAGTGCGTAGTTCAGTTTTCAGTGAAACTAAATAATATTCCCTCTCTAACTCTAAATTTTAAGCTTGTAAACAGAAGGAAAACAAAACATTGCGCCATACCTGATGTCGGTTGATGAAAACTATAAATCTTATTTGGAAATCCAAATCGGAACCTTAGCTTAACTCTGACCTTTTTGCATCACAGATGGTGACGAGAACTTTATGGGATGATAACCCTAGCTCACAACACTAATATGTGAACATAACCTTTTCCTTTTACTACAACCAATAATTCGACACGTAAAGGCTGATTATTTAGATCAAGATTACTATACCATTATATTTTATTGTCTTTTGCTGTTAATTGTTTTGTAATTAGGCAGTTTCTTGACCGGCTGATCAGTCATTTAAGTTCGTCAGTATCGCATACCTTCACCTTAATTGTCTAAAAAACTCACTAAATATCAATCTCAAACAAATTTTCATTGTCCAATAATAAATAAACAATTTAACAATGTGCACCTTAAAATGTAAAGCAATCCGCAAATGTTTATTATTGGTTAAGTGACATGATAAAAACTGAATATCAGCTAAATAAAGTGTAAAAATGAGAAGTGGAAGAGACATGTGGAAAAGGCTTGCACAGAATAATGATCGCCTGTTATTGTGCATAGAGAAACAGAAATCTTATGTTCTTACTAATATGCAATCAATGACAGAACAAAACAATCGTATAAGATATTACTCTAAGTAATCAAAAGAACCGGCCGATTAGTCAACATCATGATAAACGTACACAACACTGTGATAAGCAATTAACAAAAAATCCATTATCACAGTCAAATAGATAAGCAAAAACAACTTACTTCCCGCCAAATATATACCCTGTATAAAATGAATGGACAAAAAAGAATCATGAGAACCGGGAAAAGGGTGTGACAACTTTAACAGGCTACTAGAAATCTTTTAGCTAAATGTGCATAAAATAATTTAAAAACAATATACTAGAAGTTAAAATATAAAATGTAGACACTTCTGAAGATGAAATTGAATTGTGGGTTGTCTTTCTAGGTTATAGACATATTTGACTGTTGCTTACATGAGTTGACTTGGATAGTCAAATGCTGCAATTGATGGTTTTTAGATAATAAAAACAACCAGCCATAATTTTATCAACCTAATAAAAAACTAGCAAACTCTAGCTAGACTTTCTAGAAAAACAACTTTTCCGGTTCGACTGTTCTAAACTAGCCAAGAAAAATGCCCCCAAATGTCCTGGCACGGCCGAGAGTGGGGAGAGTCCACTCTCCCTCTCGAAATGCTCTCACATGGTCACGCGTATGTAGCCTCTGCCAGGGAAGTCCTACTCACTGCCTTCTCGTGGCGCGGGTGTTGTTTACGAAAATGAGAGGACGAAAAACGAATGTCCGGCGCTATAACCGGGTCCCAAATCAATGGTTCACATGGGCTCCAGTATCCTGAAGGAACAAATGGCGTATGAACAAATCGTTGGTCACCGGCTACCATGGGACTGCATCTCCTTACGATGCTCCACTGCCTTGTGGGTCAGACGTTCAGATCGAAGGCTCGGGGTGTGGTCCCCTAAGAAAATCACTTGCTTCGGTCTGGGCATCCGGGCAGTATCGCAGCCCTCACACATATCAAATGAGATGTGTGGCGCATATGTATTTGGTGCCTCCTTGTACCAATATCTGTGTTAAAATAAATAATAATAAATAAAGAATGGATATCAGAACAGAATTATTGGCGAGATCAATAAAGGTGAATAAATTTATCAACATAATGTAGTACGTAATAAAGGATGAACGAGATAGAGAGCGAGACAAGGAAGAACGTCTTTTCTGAGTGAACTTATCTATAATACTTGTCTTAAAAATCAACCTTTGTGTGAAGACAGGTATATTTACTGGATCATAGAAAATACCATGTATTACTGAAAAATATCCAGATAAAATAACTCCCTTTGTGCCAAACACCAGAAAATTTCGATTACTTTTAATTGGAAACCATATGTTAGTGCCTGAAGAAAGACCATAGTAACGAAACAGACAGCACAAACGAATACTAAAGCGAGTAGGAGTTTTTAGTTATCCAAAAAGCAAGGGATGCTAGTGCCGAAAATTTAAATCCACTCAAGTACCATGACATTAAGAGTAACGGATCGATAAAGTAGGGTGCTTAGAATACTTTTATCTTTGGAAGGAAATCTTAAATAAGCCCAAGGGGTGCAGATTAATATAAACATATTTAATTATAAAATATGCCGACCCAATTTTTGCCAAGAGCGGCTTCATTGAGTTGATAGACTGTGAAGACATGGATCGTTAAACTGAGCCATGTAGTCAGGTGCAGACTACCTGGTTGGTATCCGCGTGGTTATCTTAGCCAGTCGTAAGACTTCGGGTGACATGGATCAGAATCGTTCGCAGTGGCACAGATGCATTTACAATTTGTCTTAGCTTAGATCCTATCTAAGCTTCTGAATTCCCCATAAATTCATTTTCTCATTTTTTACTTCACTACATATTTTTTCGAATTATGTTTTATGCTTAATCTTTCCTATTACCACTAATACTGTTACTAATTCTACTGCTCTGCGATTTACCATGACAATTCCATCTCTGCGCTAATTGGGTGTGGAAACTTGAACTGATGTATATATGTGCCAGGTCCAACTTTGTGATTGGCTGAATGCTTATGTCAGCAATAAATTCGATTTAACAGAGTATGCACAAAAGGAACATGAATCACTGTGAACATAAAATTTACGATAAAAATGACTGATTTTAATGCACCTTATTCATGTGTCTACAAAAATGGAAGCTTATAAAACGTATGTGGACATATAACTCACCAAATAACACTCACATTTTAAAAGGACACAACATCAACGACATCAAGTGCCACAACATTCTAATTAACAACAAATGCAAGAAATAACAAAATATCCATGTTAAAAACTTTAAAACTCCAAAATTGCACAGCGATGAATGATATAAAGTTTACAAACAGACACCTGCAAACCCAGGAATTGTATAAACTACTCTCTTGAATAGTCAAGGTCTTTTGAGTATAAACACACGCCAGTTAAACGTTTCAGTCTAAAAATGTAGCAATTCTATAAATAAAATAGCATTTTTATAGGCAAAACGGAAGTAAAGTCATTTTTCCAATGCAAACACTTCGTTTAAAAGTGGAATTATAGTCGACGTAAACACTTATTTTAACAAATGTCGATTTGATCGATCACAGAGCAGTATATGAACCATACACAGAATATGAAATACAACAACAACGGATGAAACATGCAATAAAACAAATTCACATACTATCAGCATATACTTACATCCTAGTGCTATTATGAGTACTAATACAACTGCACCAATGATTATATTCATCTGAAAATAAACAAGATATTATTTATTAATATGAATTTCAGGAATAAAATCTTAGTGGTTGTTCTAATTGTTCTGTCAAGATATACAGTGCTCTAGAACAACTTAACTCGTAAACCCCATACACTACATATAGGTGACTACAGTTCAAGAATGTGAATCAGATCCGAGTCAGTCATATGAGTTACCGACTTAGTTTGTTACCGAATAGGTCACAACGGTTGATTACTAACTAAATCCCAATAATAAAAAGGGGTTAACTGTGGCCATAAAAATACTATTATTGATTAAACTTATACTGTTTATTCTAATACTAATCTGTTAATATTAGGATCGATTAAGACCGGGAACTACTGTAAAGAATGTGAATGACGAACTTCATTATTCACGAAAGTTTAGAAGAGTAATGAGGTTTAGGGAGGCATTAAAAACATCACTTTAAGTCGGATCTCGAAGTGATCTACATAAACTTGATTTTAATTCCACTACAACCTGTTGACCAATCATTTTAGAAACCGATACCAATAAAAGTGATCCAAAAAATACAGTGCCAACTACAACACTGCCTTCACGTGGCGGGGGTGTTGTTTACGAAAATGAGAGGACGAAAAACGAATGTCCGGCGCTATAACCGGGTCCCAAATCAATGGTTCACATGGGCTCCAGTATCCTGAAGGAACAAATGGCGTATGAACAAATCGTTGGTCACCGGCTACCATGGGACTGCATCTCCTTACGATGCTCCACTGCCTTGTGGGTCAGACGTTCAGGTCGAAGGCTCGGGGTGTGGCCCCCTAAGAAAACCACCTGCTTCGGTTTGGGCACCCGGGCAGTATCACAGCCCTCACACTTATCAAATGAGATCTGTGTGGCGCATATGTATTTGGTGCCTCCTAAAAATAAACATTGTGAAGTACGATACTTCTGTAAACGACTACATGATTGGTTGAGACGTACCGCGGCACAATAATAATCTAAGAATATTACGCTTAATTGGAAAAACGAAGGCGTAGCAACATAAGGATTTTAGCAAAGTTATGTAGGTTAACCTTAGTCTAAACGAAGAGGTTATTGCATCAGCTTCAGTATACTATGCAATCAACAGAATTGTAAATTCAATGTGACCTTTTATGCTAGAAAGATTTTCGTACCACTGAATAACCTTTCCCAGCAGTTGTGTTACTAGGATTCTTAATAACCCCAGTAAGACTAACTCCTAAAGACAATAGGTTATTTCATTTCAGGTATGTGTTGCAGATCAACTTCGTTCTATATTTCGATGCCAGAAATATCTTTGATCTGCCAAAAATGGTTCCACCCTTGGCTTGTTCATTAAACAGTAGTGCACCTGAAGATGACTAAGCCTCAAGAGGGTCCTTTACATAAATTAATTAGGTACAATAACAATACACCGTTTTCGCAACTTCAATCGTCTTTTAATCTATCACCGACGATAAAGTTGTTGTGCTATTATATCACTCGCGGAAATAGGACGGAATAATTATCAACGTAAAGTATGCGAGTTCATTAATATCGATATTCACTAATATCAACAGAAATCATACAAGAAACTAAAACCACTAAGGGTTTTCAAATATCTGAACATACATACCTTCATATTTTTCCACCAATATTTGTTCTTTAATTTACCTGCACTGGCCTCGAACTGTGAAGCACCTGCCTGTAAAGCATCTGTGAGAATGAAAATCACAATGAATCCCATCCATTAATAAAAAAATATTGAGTGAGTTGTCTCTTATTTTCTGTAACTCTGCATTTTTAAACTGAATCGACTGACCTGTCTTTACACACAATTTTCCAGATGTTGAGATGGATTACATGTAGATACTGGTATTATGGGAGTTGGAAGAATATTTATAGCCCCGATTTTCATTTAGCTGAATTTCACTTTTAGTCATTACCGAAAAGACGTTGACTTCGACACCACGAACATGGTGTTGCTATTTTTCAGACACAACGATGATCGAACATGGCCATTGGATAATGTCTGGGAGACACATTCTTCTGGACACTGAGCATATCTAAGATAATTGTCTCTCCTTAATAACAAAATCGTGATTCAAGATCGGTCTGTCAGTGCTTAGATAAATAACAGGAAGTGAAGTGGGTTAGTGTGTCAACAGAGTTTACTGTTTACGCTTCGTGACGCTTTTTTAAGTCACGGCAAGCCAAAAAGATTTTGATCAGAGATAACTCCCTACATTAAAAGATTGTTATAAAACGACCAACAGCATTTTTTAATCAATTCTGAAGATAGTATGCAAGCTACACCGCATATATAGAGTATTCATCGCGTGAATATCAGATAAGCAGCTTCCCTAAACTGAGTTGAATTTCCACCACTGACTTGAGGGTTGTAAGTAAGTCTAAACTTAAAGTCTGACGTCCCCGGAATGATGTGAACTAGTGACCTGGTACTTTGAACGAAATACCTTATTGTAACAGCTCACGCGCTCAGCCTCACCCATCTTAAATGGTAATCACTTCAATACTTGTAATTATTTTTTTCTTGTCGAGCTACATACTTATAGTTCACAGAAACAGGTAGCGAACACCACATTTTATTCCTAAGTAGCAAGGTAGGACTTAGAATCGTAAAATGCAAACACATTAAACCTATGGTACGGACCCTACCTGCTCGATCATCCAACTGGCTAAGTTTAGCGTCGCGCTCCAGAACTTTCTCCATGTTTACTCGCATGATGTCTACTACCTCATCAACCTGAGCTTGTGTTTGTTGCAGGCGCTTGTTCTGTGGTCGCGGTTGAGGAGTTCCTCCATTAGCAACATTAGTGGCTCCTGCATCGGCTGACCTAGATAAACAGAAAAGCATTTAATTTATACGGACAATTTAAGTTTAACAGGAGAGCTATGATAAGATACCTACATCTTCGTAAACAGTTCAAGGATACCGCGTAATTCCGAGATCCATATACTGATTGAGTTGATGAAACAAAAGCAAATGGACTAAATGGCAGCCATGAAATAAACGAATCTCAAGCTAAACGAGCTTTAATGTCTAATAGAAATTATCTTCTGACGCATAACAGTATTGTATGACTTATTCCGCATGGTTGTATTAGAACCATCCATTATCTTTGTGACCAAATAATTGACTTCTATGAGCTCGCTTCCTAATGTACCGGTATGTTTCCAGACCTTTGATCAAATTTTTAGTAGTCTAAAAACTCCACCGCTCCAGTTCTATTTGTAGATTTGTGTAACCTTAGTTTATATCAGGGCAGTAGGTTTTCTGTAATCAGTTCCAGATTGAAAAGGACAGGAGGCTAGGCGGTCTGTGTTAGTCCTGACAATGGTGGTCTATCAGTTAATCCAATTTTACTTTGAAAGAGTCGACAGATGGGGTTTTAGTCACGTGTTGAGGCAATGAATTCGATGAGAAATTTGACATTCATCTGACAAGTAATCTGTTCTGGGGTTGTGAACATTTTTAGAGTGTTTTCGTAAACTCTCTGTTTTGGAAGATGAAAACGTAAGGGAATATCAAGTACAAATTTCTCACTTAGTAATTTTAAGACTGCAACCAAGTTACCTCTAGCTTTTCGATATGACAACGGGAATAGATTTAGTTTAGCCAGTCGAGCATCATACAGGAGCTTCCAAATTCCGAGACTTCGCTTAGTTCTTGTTCTTTTTACCCTTTCTAAAATCTCTCCGTCGTTTTAAGAAAGAGCTAGCCGCTTATATGCAGTACTCAAGTTTAGGATGCACGGATGCTATATACGAAATCAAAAAAGTATTAGCCTCGACATGACCAAAGGCTCTATGTATTGATTTTAGGGTTCTAAAACCTTTAGCGGCTATTGCACGGCAGTTTTGGCTAACGATGACTCCTAATTCATTGTGTCTGGACAACGGGTAGCTCACTGTTATTCATCATGTATGTATTTGCACCTCGACGATCTGTATGCGTTACAATGAATTTGGAAGTATTTATCGGAAACTGCGAAGTTTGAGCTCAGATAATTTCTTCAGGTCAGTTTTAATGTTCTGAGCTACCACCTTTACTTCTTATCGCTCTCCATATATTGACATCGGCAGCATATAGCAAGACCCATGATGACAGGAAACGAGGAAGGTCACTTACACACAGGAGGAGTAGTACTGGCCGCAAGACTGTACCCTGAGGCGCAGTTTCTCAGTTGAACAATTTGGGGTTCACCCATACTCTTTGTTAGCGCCCAGCTAGGAAGTCTTTTATCCAAATCAATAGATTGCCCCCAACCCCGACATTTCTTAACTTACATAACAGCCAGCTGTAAGGAACTTTATCAAAGCTTTGTTGAAGTCAATATAGGCTATGCGTATAGATAACTTTTGGTTTTTAGGAGCGCACCAACTTCGACGAACCACTAATAAGTTAGTGAGACAGGAATAACCCATTCTAAAATCATGCTTCTTTCCCAAAAGGATCCCATCTTCATCAAAATACTTATACAGCTTTTTCCGAATAATCTTTGATAAAATTTTAACAGCCACGCCAGCTAGGCTAACGGGTCGGTAGTCTTCAGGTTTACGTTTCGTACCTGTTTTGAAGACAATACTTACTATTGAGTCCTTCCATTCCTTTGGTAATCGACCTTGGGTTACAAATAGATCAAAACATATACCTAAGAGGTTTGCAACGAAGTTAGCTAATCCCCTTAGAAACCTAGGATGCAGTCCATCGGGTCTATATGAAGCTTTTTTAGCAGACCAAACACATCGAGTTCCTTAATGGTCACGTTTTCCAGTGTGTGTGTGTGTGGGGGGGGAGAATTTGTATGGACTGACGGGAAGGGTGTTTCTACGGTACATGCATTGCCAATGTAGTATGAGAATACTAGAGGTTTACCATAATCGTCCTCCACTAATGATGAGGCATTACTGTCTCCCCATATTGCTGGAATGTTTCCTGTTCTTTTAGTCCTTTGGTTTATAGAGTAATACGAGCATTTAGGGCATTCCATAGATTCCTTAACACTTTTCTTCGTACAACATCCTAAACTTACGAAGGGTAGAGGCACAAGTATTTCGAGCTTCTCGATATCGAGATTTTGTCTCATAGCTACCCAGTAACCTAAGTCCTTCCCACATTCATCTCCACTTACGGAGAAGGGAGAGTGTATAATATCTTGTATATTTGTTTTATAGACGTTAGTTTTGGGTTGAACTGACGCGTTCTCATTTTTGACAACTACATGGAAGTCAAGGGTTAGAAGTGCATGATCACTTTTATCTGGGGGTGGCATGTAATCGAGGTTCGTGACGTCATCCTCATAATGATTCAATATAAGATCTAATAAGGACGATTCAGATTCCGGGTCTTACCTAGTCTCTTCTCTCATATGTTACATGTAATATCCGCATCAAACAGTTTCTTCTAGAAAGAATTTTATGACAGTTCAGTTCTTAAGATTTTCTAGTCCACCATGATTGCATTAAAGTCTCCTAGGACTAGACATTGACCACTTTGTGACCAAGTGTTGAAACTGTCTACCAAGACCTCATTTACCTCACAGTCTGAACTGCGGTATACCAAACCAATCAGCAGCTCTTGTCCCTTGCATTACAAGCGGCAATTAGCTAATTCACACGTCTCACTCTCATAGGATACCCTGTCAACAATGGTAAATGGGATAGTATTCCTAATGAGTACAGCTACTCCCCTTCCTTTACGCTTCTAGATTCTGTCGTCTCTTATCAATGCAAAGCCTTCAAAATCAAGTTCCAACTTCTCGACATTTCACATAGTCTGCGAGCGGTAAGTCCTTGAGGACGAAAAATCCTTCCCCCTTAGTTTATGTTCATTCTGTTATATCAAGTCCCGTTCATCAGACGATTTAAAAACTACTTTAAGCAGCCTGGTTTGATTTCGTTTCAAGTTTGTTTGACTACTTAGTCCATCTAACTCTAGCACCGTGACTCCGAAGATATTCTGAGGCATAAGTTGATTTAGTATATGCTTTATCAACCCGATTTCATGCTCAAAACGAGTTTCAGGTTCTAAGCTTTCACACTCCTTGATTCTATGTAAGATGACTGACCTGTCACTGAAAACAGTCTTTAACTTCTCGGGTACTTTTTGGAGGGTTGGGTTTTTCATTAATATTTTGATAGAACGATGAGGAAACGGGGTTGATCTGAAAAATGTGATGTATTTGTGCTATACATTTCGAACAATCTGGTCACACATATATTTTCAGAGCGTTTTACATGAAAATTAATAAAGGTCAGTTAAATGAAAGTTCAAGTAAAAAAGTAACAAAGGGGAGAGGAAAAATTTTACATCGTAAATAAAGAATAAAAAGTTGTCGCGTTATCCTAGGCCATAGAATTACATAAGGATTATCGAGGTAAATTCAAGGTTACGACTAATTGTTTTTGTACACATAAGGGGTTTAAATTTACGAATAGCCAAGGTTTCAATAAACTCGAGAATTCATCCTTGATAATTTCTATAAAATGTTCTAAAAGCTGTATTAATGTCAATTTTGTGCCCCTTTTACATTATATAGTTCGCTATCGATGAACCTAGTTTTCTACCTCCCACGTTGGTCGGATCACTTGACACATTGATTTTGAAGCGATATAGACACATGTTGAATGACCCTTGATCGCATTGTTTGATTACTCCTCCTTATGTATGTGTGTCCACACAAACATGTAAATTGGTAAATACAAAGGGATGTTACGAAATCATTAGTGCATTGTCTAGGTCTATTTGGAATCATAGGCTTAAACTTTTCAATTACAACCATTTTAGCGGCATAATAGGTATTCACTATGACTGCTTTCAATCTGTCTTAAAACTATACTGTTGGATTCACGTCTATATGATCACATCCCGTTTTATTTACCAATTTACATGTTTGTGTGGACATACATAGGGAGGAGTAATCAAACAATGCAATGAGGGGTCATTGAATATGTGCCTAAATGTCTTCAAAATCGATGTGTGTCAAGTGATCTGATCATCGTGGGAGGTGGAAAATCAGGTTCATCGATAGCGAAACATATAAGAGAAACGAGGCCTGTACCCATTCATCAACCTCAGTTGGAGTAACAAGCATGATCGCGTCAAACATACTGTAGGATTCCGGAAGGCTATCAATAACTCGGGCGATCAGGTTGTTTTTACGGCTGGAAACAGATGTAGGCTTGCGATCGGGATTCTTAGGCGTTTCCTGTCGGCTATCATATAAAGAACGCGTTACAGGAAACTTTCTTTCTTAAGTTTTTATTTAGGACGGACCTCATTGAAGTCGGTCTCTACTCCCTAGATTGATGTAGGTTAGTTGTTACCGAGCTTATTTGATGTGGCTTCACATCAATTTGTGTGTCGACAGAGCGAGTACTGTCCGATGTGTCCCGGCTTCGTTTTTTGATGCACTTTTTAGCAGCATTTACCATTGCAATGGCCTCGGTAAGCAAGCGGTTTGCGTCCGGGCAGCACTGCTGACAAAACCACTCGCAAACATTTTTACTAAACCGTTGGTAGCTGTTAAATTAATAAGTAGAGTGTTTGGTTGGCTGCAGTGTGAAAAATAATTAAAATAAGGCTCGAATACTTTCAGGTTTTACATGGTGGTCTGGCTTTATTCGGCTCGTGACTTCAAATATTAAATTACTACTGTCCACACAAACCTCCATCCTGATAGTAATCATCATGTGCTCACCAGTTGCCGGCTTCAAGAGGTATTTTCTGGATTTCTAGTGAGAATCCATGACCAGTGGAATCCAACCGTGTCTGTTGTGAAGCAGTTACATATTGGAAACAACGATAAACGGTTGAACAATATCATGTACTGGCTGAAGTTAGACATTAACACCGTTGGATGCCGGGTCAATGGTCTAAAGGTCAGGCGTTTGTGCGTGGGACCGAATATTCAAGGTTCAAGTCCCGCGCGCGGGGTTGTGGATGCGCACTAATATGGAGTCCCATACTAGGACGAAACGAACACCCAGTGCTTCCAGG